CAATGGAGGGAATAACTCTCAAGTGAAGCAGTCAGAAATCGGTGTTTTAATCTCGTAAGTCTGCGGACGCTATTACAACGGCGGCGTCTACAATGGTTTGGTCACATTCTTCTTAAGTCTGATAACAACCTGACCAAAGCTGTCTTAGCACTGCCTCCCCGCCCGAACTGGTGCTGTCGACACGGCGGACAGCTGAAAACTTAGCTTGACACGGTACAAAAGGATACTGAAAACCTTGGTCTCCGTTCCGTCTACGGCGTTCGCCAATGGAAGTCAAGCTGGATCACAATCTGCGCTGATCTTGTCGCAGATCGCCGAGCGTGAGCAGCAGCAATTCGGGATATCCATGAAGCCGGCTTATCCGCTCCTAGGAGCGAGTGCCGCAAAGTAAAAAAGTAAGTAAGACACCAAGATTGTCAAAGAATTGCGTTACCTCACCTATGAGGAGAGATTACGACCATTAAGGCTATATTCTACTCAGTACCGCCGAATTCGGGGAGACTTGATTTTGACGAATCAAATACTGCAGAACCCAAACCATCCATGTCGTCAGCTACTCATGTTATCGAACAATATACACCTTAGGGGATACCGTTTCAAGTTACTGATTCCAAGGTATCGACTGGAATGCCGACGCCAATCTTTTGCAATTAAAGTAAGCAGTATTTGGAGCACCCTTACATCTCACTTCATTTATGTACCAACTATTGAATTCTTCAAGAAGAGACTCTATGAAACCCTGGTACACCTCACATTCCTACACAACTAAAAACAAACTAAAATTCATTGAAGACTACACTTATTTTCCACCTGAAACCATATGTGATTTTTCTCCGAGAAACGACCCAACTTTGCAAATATCCTATGGGAACAAGAGAAGCATGAGCTTGTAAGTGATTCTCATTATAAAACTTGAAAAGTTGACTTTAGCTATTCGTTCCATTGGTCTTGTGAAGGATGCAACGACAAAATCACGTATAACGATTCTCCCCAACACCCCGAAATCAAAAGCTGGCAGATGAATCTAAGATCATCTGAAACCTGGTAAAATAATCTGATTAACAAACCTACTGATGATTTATCGGAGCAAATATTTGTCAGCTTATTTCACACAAGCCGTAAACTCAATACATTCAACTTAGGTGGATGTATCCTGTGGGATGACTCAAATAACGTCGTACCTGACACGTTTGCACAAATCGCTCGGGCGATTGATTCAAAATTCATCATAATTTTCATATAATGAACTTGGATTTTTTCACTCGTAATGACATTTGAGGTAGTTATTTCTATCTTAATATGTGCAGTACCCAGGAATGCAAACATTTCCATTTGAAGCTTACCAATGGTGAGTAGTTCATTTTTAGCGTTAGTACCTTAAAGATGCTGAAATAAGAGATGAACGGATTTTCCATATATATCAACTGTCACCATGACATTCAAGAGTTTTCTTAACGCCCAACTCTCGGTTGCTACAGTTTGCGGAGGCGATTTCTGTAAAAAGTTGGAAACCTGAAGTGTGCAAACAGAAGCAGGTATTCATAACTCTAGCCCTTGGTAGCAAAATGGACAAGTTTGACACCAGCAGCTCATCCACGGCAGCTGTTATTTGTTCATTTTCATTATATTTTTCCAGTGATAATATGTACCTGAAGAGATACAGAGAAATGATTTCCGAAAATAAGTTGTGCTACAACGTGCTGCTGTGCTCTTTATTCAAGTTCATATCGAGAAAAGGATGTCAAAAGTACTCAAAAATAATAGAAAAGATGATTGCTTGTACTTATCCAGCAGCTGCTCTACGGCCAACGTTTTGGAACGGATCTCACAAAACGAGTCAAGCCGCGCACAGATCCACGTCACACCATAAGCACGCTCTCGACGCCCAAGGCGAGTCGAATCCGGATTAGGTGACTAGCATATATCAAGCAGTTGTGGTCCGATCCACCAATCGGAGTATCAAGGACGCGATCTGATTGGTGCGTTACCACGTCGTTCCCGTACGCCTAACATATCCACTTATATTTGCGTATCGCATCCTGATCAATACCATACACCCTGACTATTGTTCTGTAGACGTGTTCCCTCCTTCGTGTTATTGTTGAGCGCTAAGAAAGAGGCATCGTGTCGGTCGTACGTCTAGACAGGACACAACAACCGTCCAATAATCCTAACGTACCTCAAAGATAAATTCAACATCCTCCCTTATCATCAGTGGTTGCCTATTCATTGGCTTGCTCACGACCGTTTCAGATTCACATATACTGCATCCCATTCCCCATCCCCTTAGTATGGTGAAAATCGTACGATAACGCCTAGTAGATCCACTTTGGACGTAGTCTCAATCCTTATTCATTTTATCACTAAGTCTTTGAATAAGTCTGTTAAGTCAGTTCGGCCTGTTGTACTGGACTACTCCTCAGCATTTGATTCCACTCGTCGATCTAAGTTGTTAAAAAACCGCGATCTTTTGAATGCCCCAAGCAATTGTTATCTTTGATATCCAACTATTTTACTGATAGAGTATAAACCACTAGATTCGGGAAGGCTTCATCTAAACGCTTAGTCAACAAATTCGGAGTTCTCCAAGGAGCTGTGCTATCTCCATAATTATTTTCCACTTATATTTGTGATATTCCTTTTGTTCCTCCTGCAGGAATTTTGAACTTTGCAGCTGACGTCATGCTGTGCCAACCCATTTATTCTTACTCCGATCTAAGCTTCTTCACCGACAATCTTGGTCAAATTCAGTCATTCTCCTCCTTGCCAGAGCTGGCCATAAACCCCATTAAATGTGCTGATTGTTTATATAGTTTTGCTCGATCTCCATATCCGACAGATCCCACAGTGATTAATAACAATCCCTTATCTAGGGTGAACTCTGACAAACATCTTGGTGTAACCATAGATGCAATCTTCATTGGTCAGCCCACATCCACGAATGCATTAGTAAACTGCGGCGCTTATCATTTCAAATTCGAAAGCTCAGGCAGTTCCGGCAATTCCACTGGGCAATACTTGCATTTCACTAGCTTCACCCCTATGAGATACAAAATTGGGCTCATTCGCACACTATTTCATCGAGCTCGTGAATTATGCACAGAGGATTGCTTAAGCGACGAAGACAGCGTCCTTAAAGAAGCACTACAAGCAAAAGGATATACAGGCGCCTTCATCACCAAGCATAGTAAAGTAACACCAAACGTAGACAATTCAATAACTGTCCCGAAAAAGAAAACGTTTTTGATGTTAGCATACAAAGGCGATGACGTGAGTGGACTCGTTAGCAAGCGGTTGAACTCCGCTGTCAAGCGAGTCTATTACGCAGTTGACCCGGCCATTGTCTTCACTACCACCCGGATACCAACGACATCGGTGAAAGAACCATTGCCTCCCTCCGCAAAATCAAATTGTATTTATCAATTCAAGTGTGGATGCTCAGCCGTCTACATAGGTAGGACAGAGAGGCAGTTACGTCACCGAATGGCCGAACACATCCCGGTGTGGCTTAAGAAAGCAATGGACGACAATTTTGCAAATGTTATGTCATCGATTGATCGGAAAAAGCTTAGATCTTTGATAACGCAACATTTACTCGAACAAAAACACTGTGTCACCCCACCCCACACATTCCATGTCACCTACAACACAACAAACGCAAAATTACTGAAATTTGCCGAGACCCTAGCCATTCACACTCTTAAACCTGATCTATGCAAACAACGCGATTGGTTAGTCACATTAGCTTTGCCTTGGTGATTGACCCCCTGTCCTATCTCGTCCCCTTTTTTGTGTTTTTGCGTTGCGTCGTCCGTTCTGATTAGCGATCTTGTGTTTTTTTCTCAAATCTGTTATTTCACTGACTATAAAAATCGTTTGGACTGCAGTATGCACGTGTACAGATGCAGCGAAATGACCATGGATACATTGTGCAAACCCACGTTTCTGACCTCTGTTCAAATTCCACTCAGTTATTTCCAGCCTTGTTTATCAGTGTGTTTTTCCCATCTTACTTTACTGTTCCCCAGTTATTTCCCCTGGCTTACTCAAACCGGATTTTATACTCTTACGTAGCGGTCTAACCATTAGTAGCCGTGTCTCTTCTATTCCTGTGAATGAATTACCTCTAAAACTTTCAGAGTATCAAGTAACTGCCTGTGTGAAATCTACAGAGAGGATATCACCGATCTTGACCGCCCATTGCACGCAGAACGGACACATTGTCGTTCCCATCATTCCACACGCTCCCAATTCCGCCAAATTTCATCTCGAATCAACGCATATCGCAATTCACCTGTACCGTATCTTGCTCGTTTACTCACAAACAAAAAGAGGGCAAAAAGTGAACTTTGTCTTAACCTGGGGTTATTCTTATATACTTATATCTGTAAAAATATTTTTCATAGTTTGTTATGTACACTGAAACGATTAGCGTGTGTGATTTTTTTTAACTGAAATGTGAGCTCCAGTGTTTGCAAAAGTTATACACAATATACAAAAAAAGCAAAAGGGAAGGATATAACAATCAGTGAATCTATCAACGTGTAGATAGCACAACAACCCGTCAAATTATTTGAGCAGTTCCGTTCTTAGGCAGCATTTACTAGAGTTTCATCTATCATTTCAGCAGGAACTCCTAGAATTTTTTCACCGATTTCAAATCCATTTTGGTAAGAGGTAGAGGAAAATCTACTTTGGATTTAAGTGCAGTCTGGCAACTGTGTTTTATTTACAGTTATAGCATATCACTAATGTAGAAAATTGCCACCCAACATAAGGTCGCGCGACAATTTCACCGTTGGTCAATTCTATGAATACTTGTTTTACGTATTTTTGAAATAAAAATGTTAAAATTAATTGGAATAAGAGGCTTTAATTTGATAAAGTCTGTTACATTCTCTCCATAAATTTGTTACTCAAGAGGCTAAATAGATTAGGATTAGCAGGAGACAAATCAATGTGTTGATTGCGTGAAAAATCCGCAATAGAAATCAACTCACGTGAACCGTAAACGATTGAAACAATTTCCGACATTTCTGAGAAATCATTGGCATAGATGAACTTAATAGAAACTGCATAAGTTGAGTACTGTTTCTCCAACGGTATTCTGTCACTTGGTCCCGCACCAGTATGATCGAATTGTTTCCAAGGCTCATTGTTTCGCAACACGTTAATGACAGATTTCTTGAGCTGACATGCCGCGCGAGCTTTCCATTCGATCAACAAATTTTCGTCCTCAATCGAAAGGTGCACTTTGTTCTCATCGTGGGCTGTGAAACGGGAATTCAGGGGATTTACAGGTTTGACGCAATCCAGCGAAACTTGTATTGATATAGTACTATAACATGTTTCAAATGCTGAAGTCTTGCTGAGCACAGAAGCTAAGGATGGTAGACTAAATTTGTTTTGTTTTGTTTGAAATCATCTCAGGACACAACTGGAGTTTATCCCACATCCCAAAGATCACAATTATTTATCGTTTTAGTAACTAGGTCACATGAATGGATTCGTTTCACCCGATTGGGTATCATAGTTTGCAATACATGTAGCATGCCGATGAATCATTTTTATAACTAAATTCTTATGATGTCCTATTACTGAGGCTGTGATATTTTACAACTGATACACCAGCAACCATCGTCCAAATGGAGAAATCGTAGATTTGAATGGCATTCGACTAATAGAAGCAAAACGTAAGTGAATATTAGTACAGATGTGTGTTGCGTATCATGTGGGGCATTGTCATACTCAATCCGGTGAGTGAGGTTCGAAACAATAAGTGTTGGGAGGAACAACTGTGATAAAATTCAGAGTGCTGTTGCGCGAGTTTGATCTGTGAAATGTGTAAGATATGCTGAAATATGATCTGTCNCCCCCCCCCCCCCCCCCCAAATGTATATCACATACAATCAAGTGGACAGAATAAATTTCATCAAGTGTCTTGTGTCACCATCTTTCTTTACGATATCTGTGAATGTGATATTGTCACATAAGTATTTCTGAACGTGACAACTGATATTTGAGGTTTTCTATCCCCCCCTCCAGTGCTTTATCTACCCGGTACATGTCTCAAAACATTTCCTTACTTTAAATGTATTCCTTCTCACTGATATCAATTACCTCCGGTTGTCTTTCCCGGTTCATTGATACACGAGTGTAAAGTTTAGTGAAGTTCTTTAAATTTTCTGAAGAAAACTGGGAGTATATCCCTAGATCAACTTATAGAAGATCGCAACTGTCATCACTGTAGAACCTTTGAGTACTTCTTCCCTTAAAACTAAACCGATCATGGTTATCTCTTCTATTTAACAGAGGCATCTCGTCCTCAACCGGTTACTCTTGTTATATGTCGATTGTGATGGTTCAGTAGCCTCGGTGGGATTCGAACCCACGCATGGACGCCACCTACGCTTTGTACGTGCATAGTCTACCAGCTGAGCTACGAGGCCACACCGACAGCACTGATCTTTTCATATTCGAATTTGCTCATCCAACTTCAAATCTGCCAAACAACAATTTGCATTCTTGTTATACACAAACCTATGCAGACCCAATTACCTACATGTAGTTTACTGTTTTTTTTTAGTCGTGTGATTTTTGTTTTCTATTTGTTGTCTCGAATCTCGTTTCTTACAAAGCCTAAATTGAAAGGCAGTTACATGGAGTGATTGAGTTTTGCAATGAACTTTCACTTATTCCGTATGGTTCCCGACCCAAAGTGATCGATTCTTTCAGATGATGCTCTGCGAATCACAAGGATACCGTAATTGGTTCTTTTTCACTCCCCCCCCCCCCCCAAAAAAAAAAAAATCGTCTCGGATATCAATATTTACCAGTCCAGTTACAATTCATGACGATTTCTCAGCTTCGCTTTGATTCTCCTTCGGATTGTCGCAGCCGAAAACTCTTCGATTTAGTTCACCATGTTATGGGAGGAGTGAAAGCTTAATTGGATCAAGCGACTAAAATGTATGTACAGATGACCAATGGCTACTCAACATCAGCAAGATAAGTCAAGCAGGCACAGCTTACCTTAGCATCCTCACCTGCAATCTCGCCCGTGTCACGTGCAAAACGCTGGGGCCAAAGTCCTTATCTCAATGTCTCCTCCGTTCTACTTAATCTTTCATGATATTCTGAAAGCCTATTCGATCAGAATCGAAACATTCTGCATAAGAAAGAAAACATCATGACATGATGATCCTAATCTACAGGATAACGCAAACCACTTAGGGACGCGTTACAGTTTGTGGACAACTATGGTGAGTCAATATTCCCAGTTAACGCCAGCTAAGCGCCTACGCGTTGCATCTCCTATAGACAACAAAGCACAGGCAATCGTGCCAACCAATCAGAAGCCGTGCGGCCGTGGCGGAAGCTGCACGACTTCGAGAATACACGCACGCGTTTGGTTGGATACCTGGATAATCAGTAAACTTCTTTTTTACATGTTATTTAATCCCCTCAATTTCTTTCGACAAAGTAACTGCTACTGCTATGTGGGCTTTTCCTTGCATCTCGGGGTAACGTGGGATACCAGTGTGCAAGTGCCAATAGGATTCAGTGTTTCCGTGGCTTCCGCAATTCTTGATTCGGGATTTGTGATTCCAAATTCGTCATTGGTAATTCGTGATCTATGCTTACTTCAATCATTAAACATTGTTTTGGACCGAATCGATCAGAACAAATGAGACGCATTCAACGCGGTCAATCTTACCTGCTGGCAATGCGATACGCATTACTCGTGAGACGCTGTAGGATTCGGGGACGTAGTAGGCGATCAGTTGCACGTCGTAGTTGACACATGACGACAGTGGACTCAATTGAATCCGATCATTACTGATCGATTGTTGCGGGGTCGGTACACCAGGTAAATGGTTAACTTGGGCATGGAAATGCTTCATCTGACAAAATTGGTTCAGTTTATATTGGATGTGAGCCTGATTCCCAAATGTGAGAACTTTTGATATTTCTATCTTGCCTAGAAAAATGATCGAAATGTTACTGTATTAGTGCGGTTAAGCAAAACTTTATTCAAGAGAGAATCGTTGATAATTTTCAAGTAGAAAAAGAGAGGATGACAGGATCGGGACGAGCCAACTGATCAGTTTCACGAATGTATAACCGTACCTGAAAGTGCGCGTTGTTGCTTTTTAATTCTGTTATTTATAAACTGTTTGTGATCAAATTGTTTTAATTTAATAAAAATAATAAATAGTAACTTATATCGCGAATTTCTACATCTTTTTCATTCTTCTTTAGCCGAAACCCACAATCCTTTAGTCTGGACCAAATATATTTTTGCCTCGACGCACAAGCTTCAGTCATACCGTTGTAGGCGAGTCAGAGGTCAACGAATGTTGAAACGTTTTGTTTTCTACAAATTTTGATGTTGCACAGCTTGATCAAAAAGTGAGGTGTGGCGGCCGCATACTGGACCACATGTTGGTTGGTAGAAATTTAACAGATGTACCCTTATTGTCAAATCATTAGACACATCTGGGGTAAACGTTTTTAATTTTTCGCTTTTTATTCAGCACTGAAAACACTGAAGAGGTGCCAAATGGTTTGACGACATGGGCACATCATCTAAATCTTTTCCAATCAACATGTAATCCAGTATTCGATCACCACACCTAATTTCTAAGTCAAGCTTTGCAACATCAACTATTGTAGAAAATATTGTGTTTCAACATTCGTTGGTCTCATAATATTCCGATACTTTTGATCTGACTGGCCCACAGTTTGTGCGTCGAGGCTGAAGGACCGGGTTGTGAACTACGGACCCATCACATGGAAGGCGTGTGTATGTTACCACTGTGACAACATGCTCATGTTAGGGCCGAACCGAACCGCCAATTCATGTTTTTTCAGGTGTCGTCTTCAGTTTTAGCCCCACAGCAACGAAGGGCGGTACATTTGTCTATCCGTTAACTCCAATCGAAAGCCTCTCACCCAATCAGGTCTTCCGTGCAGTTTACAGGCTGACTGACCACAAACTTGCAAGGCTGGCTTAATAATTTTCATTTTGGTCCCAGGCACCTGTGAGTAGTGGTGTGGGATAATGGGTCCGGAGTTCAGAGCGCGGACAGGACGACGGTGGATATGCACGAGTGATGATGAGCCCTGACAAGGGTGAAACTCGAGTCCAATGCTTCCCCAGTTCATGTTTGACTGAGGGGTATGTGTCTGTGCGATGGATGATAAGTCCAAATTAGAAGATCAAGAATTGATGAAAAGGATTATCGAAGTGAAATACAACAAATTGGTCGTTTTCCAATAAGCGTTTCGATACCACAGCGTGGCTGAAACACCTGATCAATCAGACTGCTTATTAGGTTGATCGGTGGGCCTTATGAGATATGAATTGTTGAGTAACATCAGAGAGAGCTTAATTTGGATAATTTCTGTCATTTGTATTCCTTCAGTAAGGATTCGATCAACTGGGCGCAATCGCCAAAATGGTTATCCATACTTTACACAAGCGAGAGGTCACGCGCGCGTGATAGAACTGCGAACGTACCTGGTTGTATGTCGACCGAGCCCATAAACTCACGGGCAATGGGACTCAGTAATCGAACTACGTTCAACTGGTAATCAATACATGAGGTAATGGTCAGCTCAACTGGACGCGAATCGGATGAACTGCGTGTCTCCATATGGTGATAAAGCCCTTTGTGAAGCCAGATCAGGGCAATGTCGGTGTTTGCGATCGGTGGTATATCCAAAAGGACGACGAGGTAATTTTTCTCATACTTGATGCCTTGCACTCGAAGCGGGTCTGAGTTCGATGGGGTGGTACAAAAATATGTGGCAATGGCAAATATTTACGCAGATTCACACGAATGCATGTAGACAATAGGCGTGTCTTATTTTTGGTGTTCTGTCCTTCCGTACATGTCGCTTCTGAGCCCATCTTATCCGAAACAAACAGTTAGTAGATAATCTCAGTGGTTGAATCGATATTATTTGTTTAACGGAATAAAATGTTAAACAGGGGAGAAGACTTTTGATGACCGACAAAGAGCACCGGAACAGTAGCTGTTTTGTCCTGTTTGGGACTCCTCAGCAATGCATACTTTGTGTGTCCCAATCAAGACTCGAACCGTGAACACTGGGGTCGGAACTTCAGACCCTTGCCCCGGAGATACGCCGTCGACTATCATTATCTTGTGCGAATGGTTTAGGCGTTTAAGAGTGGTAAATTTAGAGTAATCCATTCGATTGTTCACAAGCACCAGGCAGTGTTCGTTGTGGGTGTCGCTCTTCGGGCGATAGTTAATACCACAGAAGTTCCATTGACTATTGAGGCATTAACGATCTCCCAAGGAATGAAACGCACAACCAAGCGCACCAATACGGTCTGGTGCCTGTGAACAATTGAATGGATTATTCTAAACTAGCTACTGAATTGGAGGTGTTTTATTCAAGGCTTAAGGCACAGTAAATCGTTATAAACTTAGATAGTATACCTGAACGATTTTTTACGTTTCCACTTTAAGAATATCTGAATAATTAAAGGCGTTTAAGTCCCATTGAAATGATTATTCATAGAAAGGAATTTCTTTTAATACACGTTAGTTAGCGTCGCAAATTGGACAAGTCATTCAGCACAAATTGGTTTTGTCCTCCATTATGTGTGCATTAAACATCCCTATAGGCGTAAATTACTCGAAAAATACAGTTGGATCAATAGTTTTTTTCCTCTTAACTTGCACGATTATTTGGCGTTTCAAGCCTGTCTTTGACAAATGTCAAAGAGAGGTCCGGTTTCATAGCCGGAGGAAAATGATCACTGTTGAAACGGTCTGAGCGTTTTGTTTCTGTGTGCGAAAGTTTGCCTAGCGCGCGGATAGCCCAAATGGTGAGCGCGCTGCGTTAAAAAACACTCCTTCTCGTGCCTGTGTTTGCGTTCAGTAGGTATGCACCACAGATGGAACAGCCACGCACATAGTTAGTAAGTTGCACGTTTATTTTTGCGTTACAACTATATCTTCGTTAAAACTAAAAATGTTGACAATCACTGATTGCACCGCATATGCTCACTGGTCACTAACTAAAACCAGATTGCTACGGCTGTTCAGTTTGCTGGCGCAATGCGATTAGTGTGGGGAGAAATGCAGGTCATCTGATTTGGGGAGACCATGACAAGGTCGGTTGAGGTCCCTCATTGCAGTGACTGGCATTTTGTGAGTTCAAATCTCACCATTGTTGCCTAAATGCTTATCTTCCAAAATGACCCATACAACACCCACTGCGCTAAATTTTCCTCCGGAGTGATGATTGATCGTAAACTTATGAAGAAG